AGCAAGCATATTTGGATACACTGGCATGCACAGACGCTTTACCATACTTGCTTTCTCACAAGCGCACCCAGAGCCTCCTCACCTTGAACAGGGAAACCCACAGGGAGAGATGAGCTTCATAGCTGGGTGACATTTGTATGCTGCCTCTCCCCACAGACTGGGCCCGGATAGTGCCTCTTATTACTGCAGCCTTGTGATTAATGTTGATGAACGAATTTAAATTTCTGTCCTTGCTCCCTCTGCCGCCTGGCCCTGATGTGCTCAGAATTGCAGCAAGCTGTCCGCTTTCTGGGATGCAACACTGGCAGGAGGAGCATGTGTCTCTCTGCCTCCTGCCACCTCCTTGAATAATGAGCAGTGCACCTCATGGCCAAAGGCACAGTCCACCCCACTTTGCACAGAAGGCGTCCACGAGGTCTCAGAAGATGGTGGTTTTCCTTAAGAGGGAAATTCACGCCAGGTCAGCTGCCATTGTGGTGGGATTCCTCCCCTTCAGGCTTCAGCTTCTGAATGCAAACTGTTGCCTGGGATTCCATAAAGCAGCGCAAAGGCTCTCAGCCTTGGTCCACAAAACACGTACAATTGCAATCCTAGGGTGCCAAAACTTGTCCAACAATTCTCAGGTTTTTCCTCCCTTCCTCTGCAAAAGAGTTTTTCTGTTTTTCTGCCTTGTTCTTGAGGCACTTGAGAATTTCTTTAGGATGGTTTTAAGTTCACTATCTTGTGAGATGACCAAGGTTGTTTATGGGAGGCGGAGTTATTGTTTTGTGCTGTTTTTAACTATTTTGTGCTTCCATCCTGTATTTCTGTCTTGTGAACGACCCTGAGATTTTCAGTTGAAGGGCAATATATAAATTTTAACAACAAACCACCACCACCTTGGTCATCTAAAAGGCTATAGAATATTAATCAGTCATTGGTCTGGTATAATGAAGGCACCTGGGGAGAGCATTCCATAAATGGGGAGCCGCTTCAGAAAAGGCCCATTCTCATGTTGCCACCCTCCAGATCTCCCATGGCGGAGGCACATGAAGAAGGGCCTCAAAGGATGATCACAAAGTCCGGGTTGGTTTATATGGGGAGTGGCAGTCCTTGAGGTAGTTTTCTTCCTTGTAAACATTTATGCAGCACTTTGCAGCCTCCCTGGCTGCCTGCGCTTCCTGATCTGGAAAAGCCCCATGGGAGCAATTACTTTACAATGTTTCCCCTGAGCTTTAGCTGAGGCACAGGCATTCAGGGAAGCTGCAGAGCACAGACCACTAGTGAGATGATTTGTTGAATGAAAGAAAAGATGCTCACCAATACCCCTTGGCCAGTTCTAAAAAAAAGTCAGCGTAACAAAAAACGTGGGTGAGACTTTTGCTAAAATTTTCCATCCCCTTTGATAACCAAATGCAGTTTCTTTCCCATTTACTGATGGAGAATGGTTAAAAAACCACACACATGCATGCAGGATAAATGTTTGGCACAACACTAATCCATATTCCACCAGCTCCCTTTCCTGAGCACCCAATGCCTCCTGGGCCATATTCTGGCCTCTTTTCTAAACACAAGTAGAAGAAGCTGACATTGAAAACATCCTTTATGAGTTTGTCTTCACTCTTCTGTTTGCCCGACCCAGCCCACCCTCCTCTACTCTAGTGGCAGCCCTGGGACCAAGAGATAAGTGCTAATTAGATTAAAGATGCTGTCAAGGGCTGACCTCTCTGGGACTATAGGCAGAGGCCTTAGAGGGCATTGGCCTCTGGCACTCAGCCATTGTGCGTAACCCAATAAAGAAGTAAAATATACCAATTGCTCTCTGTTCCCTCAGGGAGTTTTCAATATTTGATCTGCTCCCAACCTTCTGTGCTGAGTCAGCTTCAGATCTGAACATTCTTTCCACTGCCTGCAAGTCAGCTCTTCCACGACTCTTTCCCTTCTGCCTTTAGATCCCATTCTTATTTTCTGTGGGTGGCCTCTTTGGTTGCTAACTGTGCCTGTAGTCTATGCAGCAACCTTAACTTTGTTTTTGGCTGCTGAAACTGATTCCAACAATGGATCCCAGTGACTGCCGGCCTATCCTAGGTTTTTAAAGCTTGCATTAGTTCGCATACCTCTAAGCCCTAGGGAGTAAACATTGACATTATGACCCACGCACGAGCTGTCATCAGTCACCACAGCTTTTTTATTATTTATTTTAAATGATATTTATTATGCAACTTATAAAGAATCAGAGCCTAAATTTGCTTGTTTACCAAGTCCTTCCCAGTTCCTTTTCTCTTTTGCATTGTGTATGTTAGACAGTGTTGTGTTGTCAATCTTTGCATGACACATAATAATAATGACAACAGTAATATATTGCTAATAATTATGGAGTATAGCACCTCTCAGGCCCATCATGAATTTGATCATAGGAGTTTAAGAAGATGCTTCTATCTTTTCTGATTTTACACTTTAATTTTGAGTACAGTGGTACCTCGGGTTACACACGCTTCAGGTTATGTGTTTTCGGGTTGCGCACCGCACCAAGCCTGGAAATACCGGAACAGGTTACTTCCAGGTTTCGGCGCTCGTGCATGCGCAAAACCACCAAATTGCGACCCGCGCATGCACAGATGTGCCGCTGCAGTTTGCGAACGTGCCTCCTGCACGGATCACGTTCGCAACCCGAGGTTCCACTGTATTTATAACATGAAGTTTTTCAATATATCTAATCACTTTATGTCTGCCATCCCGGTAAAGGACCACTTGGGAGTTTCCAGAGATATGTTTTGATCTGCTAGTTCAGTGAAGGGAAGTGTTTCAACTGATACTGTAAAAGATACATCTGCATGTATTTGCTTGTAAGCACCTGGATATGGGGCTACCTGGAGGAAAGAGGTCAAGAGTTGATGATGGGTTGTTTGATATTTTGTATGAAAACAGTGATTGCTTTATTAAACTTTAAACCAAAAAGCAGAATATTATAGGATTAAGTGATGATGATGCCGATGAATGGCAGCAACAGGTCTAGCAGATTTAGTTTGTTTGCAACCTTCTGTGATGAAATAAATATGCAAAATTAGCTGCAGCCCTCCAGCTCATGCTACATTCCTGACCCCAGTGCCATCCCATCAGTATGCATGAAGCTTGTGCATGCTTGGTGTGGTGATCCATGCAATGTGCTCCAGAATCCTTCTCCTACACGGAAGTATTGGGTCTGAGGTTTGTTGCCTGTGCAGACTCTCCATCCCTACCCCAAAACACTTTGAAAGTTGGTTGCTTATACTATGTGCTTGTTGATGTGTTAAGGATGTTTTGTAATAATTGTCTTTTAATTGCCTCTTGGGCAACCTGCTGCGGGGCTGTTTATGTCTTGCTGGGGGAAGAGGTTGTAAGGCAATGGCTAATGTGTGTGTGCTCTTTTGACGCATAAGGGAGGGAGTGTATTTGCCCTCCCCAGTGAAAGTGAGATGCAGAACTCTGGGACCCTTCCCTGCCTCTGAGCATAGCTGTCAACTTTTCCCTTTTCTTGCGAGGAATCCTATTCGGAATAAGGGAATTTCCCTTAAAAAAAGGAAAATGTTGACAGCTATTCCTCTGAGCTAGCTTTTAACTTTAATAAAATGGTATGGCGATAAGGGGATGATTGGGGAGAAGGGTTGATGAAGGGGGATCACAGGCAGTGACAGAATGATTTAAACAGCCTCATAGTGCTGCTTCATATTTGCAAACATCACAAATCAGACTAACATCTGACTGAGCAAGGAGGTGTGGCAGTAACAGCAAGGAAGGGGCAGCGAAAGTCTGATGTGCATTAGAAGCAGGAGGAGGGAATTGTGGCTACTATCAGAAGAGGCATTTATATTATTGGAAAAAACATTTTCCATGGCGGTGTGATGGCATCACATCAGAGACAAGCAAATGCTAACGGGCTGTGAGAGTGGAACCAAATATTATGGTGAATGTGGGGCTTCCACGGAAACGGGCAGCCTTGTGTCAAGTTCTTGCTCCCTCTTAGTCATAGTAATGTCCTGCAATACCATTGTGTGTTTTCTTGCCCTACTGCTGTTTTCGTGGGCAGTTCTACTCTGATTTCCCATGACAAAAAGGAGACCAGCAAACACTAATGGGTATCTTTAAAATTATGAGTGTTTGCTATAATGGGGGGAGGGATTGAACCCACCAGATCTTTTGGTCACAATAAGCACATTTGTTGAAACTATAGTGTCTGTTAAAAACAACAATTTCCTGCATTATCTGCCATATTAATTATGCTCACCTATGTTAAAGACAGTGTTCTTGCATCACTTATGAATGCAACCTGTGTCTATCTCACTGAAACTCCTGAGGAAAGGTTGATACACTTTGTCTCCACTGGGGCCACTTCTCGTACTTCTTTCTATCATTTTTAGGCATGCACATAATATATTTTAAGTATAAATGCACACACATATTCACAAGGACACTGCATCTCTCTGTTGAGTGACCGTTCAGTTTTATATCTCTGTACTGTAATATATGAAGCTGCACTCTGCTGGGCATTTCAGTTCTGCTTTTCATGATTCCCCTTTCCACCTTCTTGGCTTCCTGCTAATTCCTTCACTCTCACCCATGTTAAATCTTTAGCTAGATGCTCCCACATTTGCCCCCTCCTTGGGGAGCCATAAGAATGTGAGGACGATGCCTGCATTTGCTACCTACCTACCATAGATATTGGGAGCAATTCAACATGGCGCTAAGGTGATGGTCCTGTCAGGTCAAACATTTCATCTGGCAGATGGAATGGTCCCCTCTCCACTCCTCCTGCACACTGTTCTGAGGTTTTTCATCACCCCCTCCTAGTAAATTTCAGGCATGCATAGGGGAGGAGAGGAGGAAACGTCCCATTACACAAACATAACTTCTTGCACAGAGCTTCTGCTGACACCGATACTGATTAGTTGAATCCTGCCCTTTGTTCCCTGGCACCTGGGCTCCCCTGCCCATAGCCCTGTTGCTTCTCAGAGTCTTATATGGTGCCCCCCCTTTTTGTTCAGATATCTTACAACTTGGGGAAGATGTACAGTGAAATGATATTTGTCAATGGCTTTGTGCACTGTGACCCACACCCTGGCAACGTGTTGGTGAAGAAGTGCCCAAGTACAGGCAAGACACACATTATACTTCTGGACCATGGGCTCTATCAGGTAAGCAGAGAGCAGTGAGAGGACATGGGGAGAGAAGGAGGGCTGTCCGTACTGAGGCCAGAACTTTGCCAGGAAGAATTCTTTTGCCATGGTAGCAGATGGCAATCTTTGTCTTTCCCAGTGAGGTTTTTGTATCTGTGTTATTCTGGTTTAGGAACCAGAACGGATGAAGAGGAGACGGGTGCTGAAAGGCAGGGAACAGGCAGGCAGTAGGAGAGGCATGGGAAGGAGTCCACAACCTGCTGCCTTCCAGATGCTGTTGGACTACAACTCCCATCAGCTGTAGGCAGCATGGTCAGTGGTCAAGGATGATAGGAGTTGTAGTGCCCCAGTATCAGGGGAGGGTACCAGGCTGCAGAAGGCAGATCTAAGGTGAGGGTGCCTGGGTGGCACCAACTTGTAGCTCGTGGGCTGTGGCTCATAGAGAGGAGGTGGGCAGCTGTCTCAGCTGTGGGAATGGCTGACTGGCTCATTAGGAAAGATAAGCTACGGGGCCAAGCAGAATGGGTTAGCAAGACTGTCAAGAATATGAGCTGCTGGACCCACAGCAAGGAGGGCACCATATCCATATTCCACCTGGGGTGCAGCTTAGAGCTATGCTGGAGTAGTAGCCAGTTGCCTCTGTGTGAATTAAACGAGTGACACAGGCCAACCTATTTCTTATTCATAGTTGTCACTTAATCCCAGCTGTCTTCTTCTCTTATAGAATTTTGTATTTTCTGTCCATAATGTTATTTAAAGGTGCTTTGTGGGAAATTCCTCCTCCAGGTCCTGTCAGAGAACTTCCGCTTGGACTATTGCCGGCTTTGGCAGGCCTTGATCAAATCTGACATGAAGCGTGTCCAGAAATACAGTCGTCGGCTGGGAGCGGGCGACCTGTATCCCCTCTTTGCATGCATGCTCACTGCCAGGTCTTGGGAGTCAGTCAACAGGGGCATCGACCGGCTGCCAGTCACTAAACAAGAGGTACATCTTTTATTATAGCTGTCTAGTAGGTTAATGTAAGTAATAAACAAGGAGACTGCCCTAAGAACATTCTGGTGAACAGTCATAGATACCGCAATTAAAGAAGGTCTGCATAGGAGCGCAGGAACCTGCCTTATAGTGAATTAGTCCATGTATCTCAGTACAGTGGTACCTCGGGTTACATACGCTTCAGGTTACAGACTCCGCTAACCCAGAAATAGTACCTCGGGTTAAGAACTTTGCTTCAGGATGAGAACAGAAATCGTGCGGCGGCAGCAGGAGGCCCCATTAGCTAAAGTGGTGCTTGAGGTTAAGAACAGTTTCAGGTTAAGAACGGACCTCGGAACGAATTAAGTACGTCACCAGAGGTACCACTGTATAGACATACCTCAAATATATTGCGGATTATGTTCCAGACCACTGCAATAAAACGAATATCGTAAGAAAGCGAGTCACACAATTTTCTTGGTTTCCCAGTGCATATAAAAGTTATGTTCACACTATATTGAAGCCTATTAAGTGTGCAATAGCAATAGGGGTGGGAGGGTAAAACCTGGCTCTGGACCTAGCCAGCTCTACTTCCGTGGCCAAAAGAGGCGGGGCAAAGGGGGCGCTTCCTTCCTCTGGAGCAGCTGGGCTGCACCCGTATCCTCGTAAGGAGCAACAGGAACAACTGTGTGGTGGGGACAGGCTCCTATAGCCTTGTCTCGAACCCAGCAGCACAGTAACAGCTCCTCTGGTCCTTCAGTTTGGGGGGGGGGAAGCAATATCTGCGAAGTGCAATAAAACAAGGTGTGCCTGTATTGACTGCACTGACTGGCAGGAGCTCTCCAGGGTTCCCTACTGCCACCTTTCCCAGTCCTACCTGGAGATGCCAGAGAATGTGTGCCCTGCCACTGAGTTATGACCCTTACCCAGTTCTTGTGCTATATCTTATGCAGAGGCCCATGTAGGAGAGCCCAGGTTTCTCAAGAGGGAAGGGCTGTCCCTCAGTCTTAGAATACATTTGCTGCATGCAAAGGGTTCCAGGTTCAGTTCCTGGCATGTCATATTAAAAAAATGCTCCGTTTGGGAATGATCTCTGACTGAGACTGTGGAGAGCTGCTGCTGCCTGGAATAGACTGCACTGGACTTGATGGACCACTGGTGTTGTTCTGTATAGGGCAGCTTCATGTGCTCAGTCATTTAGATTCTCCTTTGACTCTCTTCTGGATTTTACTAATTAGCATGCTAGCTGCTAGAGGACGTGGAGATAGCTTCTGTGTTTGTGAGATGTGCACCAATGCTCTGGATTCATTGAAATGCTTGCAGAATGTGATGGGCAGGTGTCTCCAGCAACAGACCACAGAGGGTGGGTTTACACTGGCCATACTTCCTGTTCGTTGGACCTGGGCTTCTATTTGTTGAGCTCTGGATTGGCCTTCCCCAACCTGCTGCACTTAAATTGTTTCGGACTGTGTCTCCCATCTGGCCCAGGCACCACGGCCAGTGCTCAGAGGTGATAGGAATTATAGACCCAAACATCTGAAGGTTCAGAAAGGCTGTTCTACAGATCAAGCCCTCTTTGCAAAATCTGTGGTAGCTGCTTCTAGATCATGGATCAGGGATTATGGATCAGCTCTCCATTGTGAACCTTTCTCATCCCTATCTCACCTACTGTCTGACTGTGCCAGGATGTGGAAATCCGGACGAACGCTGCCATGTACCTACCTCAGATCACCAAGCTGCTGAACAGCGTCCCCCGTCAGATGTTGCTGCTGTTGAAGACCAATGATTTGTTGAGGGGCATCGAATCGGCTTTACAGACACGGGCCAGTGCCAGCTCCTTCCTGAACATGTCTCGCTGCTGCATTCGAGCTGTCTCCACGTGAGTTCCCTTTGCCCCATGAGGCACGATCCTCGGCTGTTGTTTGGCTAGTGATTCCTACTTTCTGGTACTTTGCAGAGGAGCTAAAGAACACATGTCGGCCAGAATTCAGATGCATCTGGATGTGGAAGATTTAGCCGGACCCAATCACTGCTGTTCTGTTTTAAGGTGGAAGTGGAATAGCAACTCCCTTTTGAATCTTTTAACGCTTTGTAGCCAAATGGGTAGTTCCCCTTTCCCCAACACCAATATTACATTTTTTTTGAGGGGGGGGCAGAGTTAATTGGGATTATTATTTGGGGGTAAGCACTCCCTCCACACCTCACTGCACTTCAGATCATGATTGTCACCTGTGATTTGGGGGCGGGGTGAGCAGGGAGGAAGAAAGAAAAAGATATAAGCTAATTCTATTTGGAAAGGGGCAACATGATAGAGCTGACTCCTAGAGGGGAGGAGAGATGGACCATAGAAAATGAAATGGCTAGAGCACAATCTCTACAAGCTATTACAGCCTACAGGATAGAGGCCAGAACAGCTGTGAGATGGGCCATCTCATCTAGGCCATAGGAATCTGAGCAGCTGTTGCATTGTGTAAAAAACAAACAAACAAATTTCTGAGCTCAATAAAACTGAAGCTGAATAGGGGAAACATGAGAAGAGGATGTTTTGATCACTATGTTGTGCAAAAAGTGAGTGGCATAATGTAGCTGTTCTACAATACGTGTCCAGAGTGTGGAAATAACATTGGTGCCATGGAACGTTTAACATCCTGAGGTGTCTTCAGCCATCTTTATAAATCTCCTTTAAGATGGTGCAAGCAGAGGAGAAGGGTTGAGAAGTTGCAGGTTTGGGGTGCGGTTCTTTATTGAGTAATGAATTTCTACCCCCTTCCTCCCCTTGTTAAGAGGGGGCAGTTGGTTTGCTTCCTCAGTTCTGCCTTCATTGCTGCCATATGGTACCCACTGTAGAATTGTCCAGAGTTGACACAGGTGGAGGTGGCAGGTGGAATGAAAAGGTAGAGGCCCGCCTGGTGTTTGTGAAATACTTCCCCAAGGGAGGCTCACCTAGCACTTTCATAACATAACTTTAGGTGCCAGGCAAAAACATTTCACTTTAACCAGCCCTTTGGCTGATCAACATTCGATATCCTTTTAAATGTATTTGTGGGAGGACAGGGGGTTATTGGTTAGTTCTTGTTCTTGCTTTTAATATTTATTTTGTGTCCTCATTTTGCATTTTTATGTTGTGAACTGTGATCTTTGGATGAAGGGTGGTATATCAATTTAATAAATAATAGTTTTGGCCCAAATGGGGTCCAAATGTAAGCCAGCAGAGACTGGGGCAGTGTATTTCACTTGACCCAAATTTATGAATTAGTTCACACAGTAAACTCCACCAGCATTGCTCTTTCACTGGCTTCCTGTTGCTGGGCTTTGTCCCTGTAAGACAGGGGTGGGGAACGTTTCCCCCCCTGGCTGGCCAGATCTGTCTCTGCCCTACCCCTCGCAGAATAATTTCAAGATCTCAAAATTGCTGCAAGATCTCTCACGTTCCTTTTCTGTGTTTTCTCCAGGCACCAGAGGAGCAAAAGTGACTCACTGTACAGGAAGGCACAGATATCCATCTCTGAGGCCCTGAGCTTGTGGCAGATCAACTTGTACGAACTTTTCCTGCGGCTGAAGGGGTCCCAGCTGGGGAACTGGGTCATTGCATTCCTGAGCTGGATGCACCATTCCTCGTAGTGACATGAACTGGTGGCAGAATCTGGGCCTGATTATATCCTTGCCTTTCTCAGCTGTGGCATCTTGTTTCTATTTATTCTGCTGGAGTTTTCTGGGTCTGTTTTCATGTAACACATGGTGCTGTCCTTGTTGCCTTTTGCAGGGTCACTTTCTTTCTGAGGCAGAGAAGGCGAAATCACAAAACAGCATCTAGAGCTCAAGGGAGCCAGAAGTCTCATGCTTCCAGATATAGTTCAGGATGGTGGCAGCTTAGGGAGAAGGTTGCAAATTTCTCTGTCCGCAGATCTCTAGCTGAAGTCCTAAAGAACTGCACAGAACCAACGAGCTTCTAACAATACCATACATGTTTCCTGAGCAGATACTGCAGAATTGTTGCATTAATTCCCCTTCAGTTCTGCTGAAATATTCCAAAACAAAATGGATATCAGGTAGGCAAAGAACTGAAAGCCAGAATGTCTAAACAGTACTCCAACTTCTGGGAGATTTTGAACGAAAAGGCTGGGAGTGAAACCAGTGAGAATTTCTTTTCTAATTGTCACCCTACCCCTCTCCAGGTGACATTTTTTTTTAAAAACAACCACAACCACAGACATGTCTACTAGCCATGGAATTCAAGTAACCTGTTTTGGGCCTCTCTGGTTGTGAGGTTTGGGAAATTTGGGGACATTTTAATTGCCTTAATTGCCTGAGATGTAAACTAGAGGCAGCAACACCAACCTGCATTGGAAGTGTTCAGAGAGAGACACTGTTGAATGGCAACACATTATTGTCTGAGAACTCATTCACAAGTCAGTGCTGGTCATGTTTTGTGTATTTGCAAGGGGAAATAAACGAGCGTCCTCCCTTTGGGAGGTAAAAAGAGCACATGTGCCTATTTGGTTTTTTTTTTTTTTAAAAAAAAACAACCTTTCTCACAAGAGTAACCTGTCTCTCTTGTGTTGGCAGTGAAATTGGATCTATTCACCAGCTCCACAGATGGAAGCAACCATCCTGAAGTCCTATAAATATGGACCTACTTTGCACAAAAGGGTTTTCACTAATGCATCTTTCTTGAGTTTATAAAGACAGTTTGATAAAGGAGGAACAATAGACTTGTTCCCATAATATAAAAAATATTAGACTTTGCGACCATTAATTAATGACCATTTAGAAATCATTATCATCCTCCAACTGCTGTAAATAGCTGAAGAGCACTCACATATAGAAAATCTGCAGGAATTCTCTATTTAGAGATTTGCTCCAAATGTAATATGACTGCACCCACTTTTTACTTGTTTAAAAAACAACAACCAAAAAACCCACAAAACCTTTAACATGTACAAAAAGTACATACCACTGATAACCAGGCATCAGATTATAAATTAGTTTCAGTTTGTTTTTTGGGGGGTGTGAAGGACCATTCATGATAGACATTTTAAAGATTCTCTTTCCAGTTCATTGATATAAATCTTTTAGGTATATTATACCACAGCCATTGCCAGACTGTTGTTGTTATTGCTACCCCTAAATCTTCCCACCATTTTATTTGACAAGCCATAGGTCTTATCAGCTAAGAGATTTAACACTGAATAAATTCTACCAATTTTACAATCTTCTACTGTACCAGGTACACGAAAGAGAATACTTTCAAACTTATGTTAGATCTCTCTGACTGAGAGCTGCATTTGACTGAGGGTCAAAACAAAACATCTGACTGGAAGGTATTGGGGGAGCTGTTGAATTCGTCCTAGCTTTTGATTGCTCAACAATGCCGCTTTCAATAAAGTCCTTCAGGAACATTCATCCTTTGGTCCTCCTCCAAGCAGACACAAGGCCACTTGTGTCTTTTCTGTTTATATGTTACAGAAACATGAGGAATGCTGGAAGTGCTCAATGGGATTTTGTAGACATGCCAAAATTAAAAGACCACTGTTGCACATTTCCTCATGTCTTAGTGAATATTGTATTATAGCATATGGTTCGTGAAAGGGCTAGAGGACTGTTTTATACGAAGGCACGCTGTTTTGTCTATCTAGCCCAGTATTGTCTTCTTTGGATGGCAGTGGCCACTCAAGGTCCCAGGCAGAGAAAGGTTTTCCCCATCACACCCTGCCCAGTCTTTTCAAATGAGAGTGCCAGCGATTGAAATGGTGACCTTCTGCGTGCTCCTCCGATAGTGAGCGGGTCTAGAAACAAAAATTAGGCGGGGCAGCAGATGTACCACTGACCTGTGTATAGTAGGCTACACACCATGTAAAAAGTCAGTGGTCCTAAGTACAGTGGTGCCTCGCAAGACGAAATTAATTCGTTCCGCGAGTTTTGTCATCTTGCGATTTTTTTCGTCTTGCGAAGCACGGTGTCGGGAAAGTTTTGGAAAAGCTTCAAAAATCACCAAAGTATTTAAAAACCTCAAAAAAGGCTACCACACCGCGTTCTATGAGTTGCTCCTCGAAGTCAAGTCGCAACTGTATTAACGGTGTTAAGAAAAAGGAAACAAACTTGCAAGACGTTTCCGTCTTGCGAAGCAAGCCCATAGGGAAAATCGTCTTGCAAAGCAGCTCAAAAAACAAAAAACCCTTTTGTCTAGTGAGTTTTTTGTCTTGCGAGGCATTCATCTTGCGAGGTGCCACTGTATACACATGCCCCTCTCCATCAAGCTATGCAAGAAGCATTGTGACAGTTCTAGCAAGGCAAGAACACTTTGTAGAGGGGATGCAGAGTAAGGCCAGTGATGGATATGACCCAGGGAGATTATGGGTGAGAGGACCCTCCAAAGTAGTCTTTTTTTTCCTCAGGGGGTGGGCAGAAGAGGGAGAATTGATGAACACCTTTTCCCTCCCCATTATGCTAAAGAAGCATTAATGTCAGCTGAGTGACACTGCCAGATATATCCCTCTTATTTTGTGTGTGTTTCCTCCCCTGGGTTTTAATGTTTTATGCCTGAAACTAGCTGTAGGATGCCTTCTTGCTAATGAAGAGAAGGCTTTAAATATTTTTCAGAAGCGATCCCATTTTTTCCATCAGTGCTCACACATTCCTGCAACCTGGCATTTCAGCTGGAGCTCTGAGGGCTTCCGAGTGCCCCAAAGTTCCCCTTTTCTCATTTACGTGTCATGTTCTTTCCCAGCAGGAAAAGAGAGATAAATGGGAACTTCCACTCTCTTCTTGTGTTTGAAGGAGGAACAGAGAGGAAGGGGAGTGTGTAAGTCCGAAGCTCATAATCACATTTTAGATCAGATTTAGGCGGTCGCCTGAATTGGGCCTAAGAGCTGAAATCTGTCATTCATCTCTTGCTTTTGCCAATAAAGTAGGTGGTCTTAAGAAAGCCACAGTCGCTTAGCCTTTGCCCTCCCCCTGAAATCTTCTCTAGAATATTTTGGCTTAATCAAACAAGTTGTTATAAGGATTGCAACAACGTAAGAGCAATGCTTTGAACATTCAAAAGCACAGAATTGATTATTATGGTTAGTCATTCAACCCACATTTCACACATGCCAATTTGGTTGTGTGAACTGGCCCACACTGTAATCCTAACAGATTTCTGTTTAAACGTCATACATTTCTTTTCTGCAAATCCAGATTCCTGCCTTGTTAGTTAATGTGTCAGAACTGGAACTGCTTAAGGATCTCACTAGCTAAGCTGGTTTCCTTTTGTGGTAATAGCAGAAATGCAAAAAAGGACTTAGCCTTTTGTGTTATCAAATGGCAGCTTTCAGGGTTAGCACAATAAAGGGTCTCCCTAATTCATTTTGTCTCCATTTTGGATTCTGGAACTGACTATTCGAGATCAACTCTTCCGTGTTCCATATTTTGGAATAAGTTCTTACTGCTCACTGAGAACATCTTTCTAGATGCCTGCTGTTTGCACAACAAAGTCTAACCTTCCAGGGGCTACTTTTCAAGGAAAATGACATTTTATTTGGACTGTTCCTTCTGTCTCCACTGACTCCCTCTGCTGGCCAACAACATAATATCAATCAAAGTCCAGGGCATAAAAATGTTTGCAAATCCTGCTGGTATTAAAGCATATTCCAGATGCCAGTGTTGCTTTAGAAAGAAATTCTAAGCACACGCCTTTGCTTCCTTCAACTCCCTCTTCAGAAATCATGTTCTCCCAGAAACACTTTAGAACAGCCCCTGGTCCTAATAGGCCCCATGGCAACTAAATCAGTGTATATGTAATTGAAGTCATCACATTTTCTTCCCCTGCCTTCACTCCCCTGCCTTCCTCTGTTGTTTCTCTGTGTCTATTTTAAGGTGTTAAGCCCCTTGGGGCAAGGACCTGTCAAACCTGTACTTTGCAAAGTGCCATGTCTAGAGATTGTACCATAATAGCAATAATTTCCAATTTATACAAAATGTAAAGGTAGCCAAGCTGACACGTAAGAAAAAAATATCCAAAATGCATACTGGGACAATAACTTTATTAGGCATATCAGAATACCATAAAATAACATGTGTGAGCTTTTGAGTTCCTCGGAATGGCTGATCTCGTGTTTTCTCCTTTCCCAGTGGCCTGGGTGCAGCCTGAAACTTGCAAAGCACTCAAAGGAGCCTCATTTGAATGCCTGCTATCTCTTCACACCCTTTGCCCTAAGACTCTAAACAGATGCCGACAAGGATAGCTTGAGCAACAAGCCTGCACACCCACCCTGGTCAGCTTCTGCTTTTTGGCATCTGGCCTGACGGGAGTTCTGGAGCAGGCAAACGCTTGCACACTAGTTTCTGACATGTTGGTTGGCTCAATAAAAGTATCGCCCTAATGTGGATTTTGGCTTAAGCATGGATGAAGTGCAAAATATGGCAGAAGTGCAAAATGGCCAAAGAGTGCTTTAAATAAATAATAAAGAAGTCCTTCGTTTTTGTACATGTATGGGAACTCTTGCGCATCCATGCAACAGATGTGAATGATAACCGTGGGTTAATATGGGAGAAACTAAAGGAGTGCTGCCAGAGACAACACTGCAGTGGAACTAAACTTAGCCCCCTGCTTAGAGAACCCAGTGCCTGGGATAAGGGGCAATTTTATTCCCTGTATAGTTACAGTGTTTATATGCATGGAATTGTAGAGTTGGAAGGGACCCCGAGGACTGTCTATTCTAGTTCAACGCCCTGCAATAAAAAGATAAAAACAGAAGTATTGTGGGTGAGCATAACACGTGTGACGGGACTCACAGAAAATAGGGGTAACAGCAAATAATATACCTTATCCAGAAGCCCTGGGCTCAGTGTCAGAATCAATACTTATATGCTTGCAAGAGTTAAGCTCTCCCCTCTAAGACCATCACTTTTTCAGGAAACAGACGTATCTTACCTTTCCCTAGTCTGCTGTCTCGTGGGGAGCTTCAGTTGAGAGCAACGTGGAGTATGAGAGAAATTGCTGGAGCCTCACGCTGCTGATTTGACCCATGCAAAACCTTTACCTTAAATAAGTGTCTGGGTCTCATTGACGTCTATGTGAAATGGGAGAGGGGAGTGCATGATATGCAAAAGAGATACACACATGAAATGATCCCTTTGAAATGTACAATTTAATGTTTGTTCCTTAATACTATTGCTGTGCCTGCATGAGGTGAATAGGGCAAATTCCCACATCTTTTTTTTTGGGGGGGGGAACCAACCTTTATCCACTACAAATTGCATGGTGTCATAAATGAAGTCATAGTGGGCATCAGTGTTTTTTTCTGGAGTCAAACTCATCCCTGAACAAACTGATTAAGAGGATTTCCTGGTGGCCAAATTGTTTACCAATGAAATCCTCCTTGCACTCTCTGGAGCCAGGAAGTCTGATGTTGCACTCTTATGTCACAAGCAGGTTAAGGATTGAAGAGAGGTTGAGTCTACAATGCAAGCAAGGTTGGTGCCGTGATCCATTTAACTGAGCCAGAGAAAAGTCAGGGCAAGTAAACCTCCATTTCATCCTGAACCAGCAAGAATTACCAAGAGAACAATTAGGACTTAGATCTCAGTGCAGGGCTTCTATTTTACAACTCTTCAGCCTGATCTTAAAAAGGTTTTTGTTTTTTTAAAACCCAGGAACAAGTGCTAATGTTCTCTGTTCCACATCAAAGAACCATGATCTCATTTGATGTCTGCAAGGCCTGCCTTAGGGCATGGCATTGCTACTTCAGGACTATAGAGCTACTTGCCTGTGGATCTTGCAAAAATTATGCTGTTGCTTTCTAAAAAAGAACTTGAGGGCCTTTTTATCCCAAATGAGAAAACATTGCTTGTAAGAGAATGGCACTGATTGGCTGGGAAAAATAGAAGCATGAGGATCTGCTGGATCAGAACAACAGAAGCATGAGGACGTATGAGTTAGATGGATCAGGCCAGAGGTTTACATGGGTCTTACATTCTTCTGTTTTATCTAGTCCAGTATCCAGTTTCTCATGATGGCCAATCAGATGCCCATCAGAAACCTGCAAACAGGATAGGAGGTGATAAATGATGAATGGATAAATGAATGAATGAATGACTATTAGGCAACCTAAATACTTATTCACGGAGTGTGGATCCTTATGCAGTTTAAACGACAGCATCCACATATAAGAGGGAGGTTATCAGTGGAGTCTCAGTGTTTCCGGAAACACAGAAATCTTTAAGCGGAAAACTCTAGAGAGATGAGAAATGAGCATGCTTAGCATCTACAGAAGCTGGAGTGTTGCTGGGATCTGGGAAAGAATGGAAAACCAGAGGTGAGAGTTGAATGGAATGGAAAATCTTGGAAAAGGGCACAGCTGGCCTGCTCTACATTGCAGTCCACTTGCAGTAGCTGTAACTGGAATCTTCATGTTCAAAGGCTTTATCACTCTGGTTATCATTTGCTGGCAAGCAAATAGCAGGGGATGGCTATCATCATCATGCTCTGTCCCCTGAGCTTTTAGGGGCATCTGGCTTAGACAGTTTTGGAGAAAGACAGTGATCCTGAAGTATTTATTT